GAATAAAGAAAGAAATTAAAAGCTTTTTAGAATTCAATGAAAATGAAGGCACAAAACACCAAACTTTACATGACACAATGAAAGCAGTGCTAAGAGGAAAGGTCATAGCAATAAGCGATTTCATAAAGAAATTGAAGAGATCACATACTAATAACTTAAAAAGCACACGTGAAAGCTCTAGAATTCTAGAATAAAAAGAGCAAACACACCAAAGATGAGTAGGTGGCAGGAAATAATAAAACTCAGAGCTGAAATCAATAAATTATAAATAAAGAGAACAATACAAATATTCAACAAAACTTAAAGTTATTTTTTTTTGAGAAAATCAACAAGATAGACAAACCTTTAGCCAAACTAATTAAAAGGCAGAGAGACAGTATCCAAATTGACAAAATCAGAAATGAAAAGGGGGACACAGCAACAGACACTGAGGAAATCCAAAAAAAATCATTAGGTGTTACTTCAAAAGCCTATACTCCACAAAACTGGATAATCTAAATGAAATGGATAATTTTTTTTATAGATTTTATTTACCAAAGTTAACTCAAGACCAGGTTAACAATCTAAATAGCCATATAGCCCCTGAGGAAATAGAAGCATTCATTAAAAGTCTCCCAACCAAAAAGAACCCAGGGTTTCAAGTTGTCTTCATTTCAGGGATGCAGGGATGGTTAAACATCCAAAAATCCATCAGTGTAATCCACCATATAAAAAAAGTGAAAGGAAAAAAACAACAACATGATAATCTCATTATAAGCCAAAAAAGCCTTTGATAAAATCCAACATCCCTTCATATAAAAGGTTTGGAGATATCAGGGATACAAGGCCCATAACTAAACATACTAAAAGCAATATACAACAAACTGATAGCCAACCCCAAATTAAATGGAGAGAAATTTAAAGCAATTCCACTAAAGTCAGGGACAAGACAAGGTGGATAATTTTCTCCATATCTATTCAACATAGTACTTGAAATTCTAGTTAAAGTATTAAGACAAGTAAAGCAGATCAAGGGGATAGAGATTGGAAGAAAAGAAGTCAAAATATCATTATTTGCAGATGATATGATAGTATATATAAGTCACCCCCAAGTTTCCACCAGACAACTCCTATGGCTGATAAACACCTTCAGCAAAGTGTCTGCATACAAAATTAACTCAACAAGTTATTAGCCCTCCTTTATACAAGCAACAAAATGTCTGAGAAAGAAATTAGGGAAACAGCACCCTTCACAATAGCAAAAAATAATATAAAATATATTGGTGTGACTCTAACCAAGCAAGTGAAACAGTTGTGTGAAAAACTTCAGATCTCTGATACTGAAGAAGATATAAGATTAACTAGCCTGTTTCTATGCCAGTATCATGTAGTTTTCATTACTATTGCTCTGTAGAACTGCTTGAAATCAGGGATTTAGATATTGTCAGGATTGCTTGTATTGTACAGGATTGTTTTAGCTGTTCTGGGGTTTTTGAGTTTCCATACACCCAAAAGATGCTCCACCATACAACAAGGATATTTGTTCAACTATGTTTATAGCATCTTTATTTGTAATAGCCAGAGACTGTAAACAACCCAGATGTTCATCAACTGAGGAATGGATAAAGAAAATGTGGCACATTTACACAACAGAATACTACTCAGCTATGAAAAACACAACAGAATACTACTCAACTATGAACTTTGCAGGCAGAAAGATAGAAGTAGAAACGATCATCCTGACTGAGGTAACCCAGACCCAGAAAGACACACACCATGGTGTATTACTCATTCATAAATGGCTATTAAATAGACAGTACAGGATAACCATACTAGGGTTCACATTCTCAAAGAAGCTAAGTAACAATGAGGGCCCAAGGGAGGTTGCTTTAATTCCACTTAGAAGGGGAAATGGGATAAAGAGTGGAAATGTATGAAGAGGCAGTACTGGGTGCAGGAGGGTGTGCGGAAGGATCAGATGTGTAGGGAAAGGAGGGGGAGAAAGATGAGAAGGCTGGGAGAGAGAAAGAAAACCTAGAGGGGTCATCTCTGAGACAAGCTGGGTACCTAGGACAGGGTAGGCTTCTAGGAGGATGTAGGGGTGATTCTAGCTGAGACTCCTAGCAGCAGGTGTCATGGACACTGAAGTGGTCACGTCCTAGCCAGGCTGGACTTCCAGTGGAAGGAGGGGGACACCAACTCACCCAGAAATCTTCGACCCAAAATTTATCCTGTCTACAAGATGTACAGGGATAAAGATGGAGAAGAGATTGAAGGAATGGCCAGCCAATGACTGGCCTGACCTGAGACCCCACACCCCATGGGAGAGAGCCAACCCACACCCCATGGGAGAGAGTTCTGCTGTGCTTGCAGGCAGGAACCTAGCATAACTGTCCTCTGAAAGGCTCTACCCAGAAACTGATGAAAACAGACCCACAGCCAAACACTAGGCAGAGCTCTGGGAGTTTTGTGGAAGAGTTGGCAGAAAGACAGAAGGACCTGAAGGGGACAAGAACTCCACAAGAAGGAAAGCTGAGGCAACCAACATGGGCCCATGAATGAAGCACCAACCAAAGAGCAAGCATGGAGTAGACCTAGACCCCAACACATATGTAACTGATGGGCAGCTTGGTCTTCTTGTGAGTTCCCTAGTGAGTGGAGCAAGGGCTATCTCTGACATGGATTCTATTGCCTGCTTTTGGATCACTTTCCCCTGGTGGGGCTTGCTTTTCTGTCCCCAGGGGAAAAGGCTTGGTCCTGATGTGACTTGATGTGCTGGGGTTGGTTGATATGGGGATGGAGGTAGAGTTTTTCTGAAGAGAAGGGAGGTTGGGGCAGGGAGGAGAGAAGGGAGGGGCTGGGATCACAATGTAAAGTGAAAAAATAAAAACACCAATATAATAATAAAAAGAAAGGGGGTAATACAGAAATAGCATATAGAAAATATGCAGAAATGATATAAGAAAAGAATAGTGAATCTGTTCTTCAACTATTAAATTGTTATCATTCTCAAATATTTTTTAAATTTATTGGTATAGAATTTGTATATAAATAAGGTTATTTTTGATACACATATGTATGTATGTTTCTACTCTGGTATGAAGTATTAGACCTTTACAACTCATTTACAAATGCACAAATGAAGCTAGGCTCTCAACCATGCTGCTCACTGGTCATGCTTAGACAAAAGGGGAGAACCACAGCCTTAGACACAGTACATAAATTAACTAAAATTCAGATCACCTACGTGCAAAATGGGCCAATATTTACAAAGACCATGAGAAAACCTTAGGCACCTGGGACCAGCTGATTCACAAAAGGTGATTTATGATTTGGGCTCTTTAAAATAAAAACAACTGTACAAGTTCCTGTAAAGAGAACGGAAGAACAAATTACAGACTGAACCAAGGTATTTACTGGGAGTATATCCAATGAGCTAATTCATATCTTGAATCATGAATTCTCAAAAGCTGAACTAAAGAGAAATCAATCAAAATGGCCAAAACCATGATGTGGCATTTCGCTGTGTAGCACTTACAGACAACAAGTAATTACATGGAAAGATGCTTGATACATCAGCCACTAAGGAAATTCTAACTGACACAGCAACAGAATGACTAAAATAAGAAAGAAAATATCCTTGACACCAAAATGATGGTAAAAAAAATTTCTTCACAGTAAACACTTTCACATTCTTAGTTCTTAGCTCGTTCATCAGACAAAAAGCATGTAAACATAAAATTAATTTGATTATATTGAGAACGTAGGATTACTAATTATCAAAAAGACTTAAATGAGAAAACAAGCCAGACTTCTCATATAGAGACAGACTAGACAATCTAAAACCAGAATCTAAAAAAAAATGTAACCATAACTTTATTTATGCCAATTTTATAAACCTCATTTAAGAAATGCCTTGAAACTAAATAGTCTTGTAGGGCAAGTTTCTTCTCTTGAAAAACAGTATGTTTGGTAGGTACTATAAAACATGACGTTTTATGTATTTATTCTTATTTTTAAGGTAAAGTTCAAAGTACTAGTGTCAGTTGAAATATAAATTCATGAAGGCAAGCGCTGAAACCGATTTCTTTTTCTGTAGTAACACAAGAAAACTCACTCATAATTCAGATACTGAATCCAGAAACGAAGCCATCAAGTCAGTTGATGCAGGTGTAGCTATCATTTCGTGAAAATTTAGAGCCGTTTTTAACAGAACGGAGAGGAAAACACCAATCTATTAACATGAGGCTGGAACTAACTAGTCTGACAATTTTAGCCCACAGGGATCTGTTCCCTCACGGCTCTCCGAGAACCTTGGAGAGGCCCACAACTCTTAAGGTAGGCCAGTCCTTTGTTCTTCCTGTCCTTGTTTGGGAGGCTCATTTGCTGAGTACTGTCTAAAGTGCCATCCTTCCTGTATATGAAGCTGAGTCCTTTGGAAGGAAAGAGAATTCTTGTCCTACAGGTAAGAATCACCGTGCCAGAGAATCAGGGCCTAGCCCGACAGGGTTTGGAGCAGTTTTTCCTGGCTCCAGAATGACAGGGTTTCTTCCCCTGAGTAAGCATTGGAGGATGTTGCTGAGGTGCGTTGTATTTTAACTTCAGCAGGGCTGTTTCAGCAGGCCACTTCATTGTGCGCATGTGCCTATGTGCGTTTATGTTTGGGCACATACACTGTCTGGACATGTTTGAGTGCAGGTGTGCTTGCGTGTAAAGATCTGCATGTGTGTGTGTGTGTATGTGTGTGTGCGCTCGTGCAAGAGGCCAGAGGCTGACACGGAATCCTCAACCATTTACCGCGTGACTTTTTGATACAGGCTCTTTCTCTGAACCGGGAACTAGCTCATCAATTCCATTTGGCTGCCTGGCCATTGCACCCCTGTGATCGATTTATCTCCACATCCCCCGTCTGGGGTTACAGGCAGCTGCTATGGCCAAACTCTCTTGCTGTGGAGCAAACTCAGATATTCATGTTTGTCTAGTAAGCCCTTTACCAACTGACCTATCTCCCAGCCTCTAACGGATTTCGGATGCTCTTCCACACTACGTGATCCTTGTGGGAATGGTCACAACAGGAAGAGCTATTGTTCAAAGCTGATTCTGAGGGTGAAATATTTTGCACGTAGTTTTACCAGTTTTGCATCCAAATTATTCGGTAGTTAACTTTTCCCCCCTGTGGCTTTTAAAATACGACTATACTGGATTACCAACCAGCACTCCCCCAAATTCTATTCTTAGAATCCAGTAGTAGGTGGAAACTCTTTTTCTGCCGTGTAGACTGGTGCTAAAACTCCTAAGCTTCACAGCACAATGACTTTGGTATTTTAAGCCACACAGTGCGAAGGGAGTTGCTTTTATGTTTAGAGGGTGTGTTAGTGCTCAGATTAAAAGGGCCAGGTGATTGCTTTCCTGAAAACAGGAAAAGTATTTATTTCATGCATAGTCAAATCGGACCATCTTTTATCCCCCTGATACCAAGAAGAAATGTTCTTGGCCTTTTCTTTTTTTTTTTTTTCCCACAAGGGTCATTTAAATCAGTTGAGAATCCCTCCCTCCCCCCTTTTTTTTCCATTTAACTTCCAATTATAACTGGCAAGAAATTATGCCCCTATGTAAAGAGATGTGATTATATAAATACCCATTCACACATAGCATTTGACCTTGAGAGTTTATGAGGTGTCAGCATTCAGAAGGCTGAGACAGGAGGAGAGTGAGGCTGGGGCCCACCTGGACTGAGCTATGTAGTGAAACTCTTTCTATCCCCCAAAAACCGCATTAAAAAAAAAACAAAAAAACAAAAAACTGCACTTGAATTTCTCCTTACAGTCAGGATTGAGCTATGTGAAAATCAGGGTAAAATGTTGAACCGGATCAGAGAACAACCTGACCTTTGACATTGCAACATGATACTATTACCTAGAAAGTTCACGTTTTGGGTGTGCTGGATCAAGTTACAACATACACAAATACATGCATGCACACACACACACACACACACACACTCATACACACACACACACACACACACACACACATGCACACACACACCCTCGAAAAAATTCTCATGTAATGTTTGAGTGGGTTTACATTTTGTTTGTTCATAGCTCCCTTTGGCCCCATGTGGACAGTAGACGGCCAGCTGAATATAAAGTTTAAACTTCTGTGTAGCAGAGATGCAGGAAGATTCCAACATCCCATTATTGACTTGGGGATCTTAGAAATCTGAGTTCAGACCTGAGTTGTAAAAAGAGACTTGATGGAAGTGCGGAAAATGATCATGCTTACGAGTCATAAGAGACTGCTGTGATGAGACACAGAATGCAAACAGCTGGTTCCAAGCCCTCAAACCATTATTCCCAAACATTTATCAAATCTGGACAACCGCTGGGTCTTCAGGCACATACACATAAAAGCTAAGCTAAAATTCCTGAAAATTCCTAAAAACAAAACAAATTCTAACAACAACAAAAAACAGCCTAGATAGTATACAGTCCTAGAGACACGAGAATAAAACATTAAAAAAAAATATTAGTGTTTAAAATGTACGAATGAAAATTGCTCCACATATGATGAAATGGAATAAAATTTATCCTAGGTATCAAACCTAATCTACCTTTAATTTTAGGTAGTCTAGGAGTGAAGTTTATAGTTGAGAAAAAGAGTGAGATTACTTTGCTGCCTGAAAGCTACCATTCTGTGTCCAGAATTAAGAACTTATTGGAACACGCTCATGACCTTCGCTCATTCACTTTGAGCAGATGCAAAGATGTTGAGGTGCCCTTGGAAGCTTAAAATATACTACCTGGCCTTTTCACAGACAGGGTTTGCCAAGCTGCACCGGCCTGCTAGCTGCCAATCCTGGCACATAAATGCCCAGAGAATGGGGATAAACCAGTGAATGGCTGTGTCTCACCAGAACTCAATCCAACTTCAGACTGGCTCCCTTCTAGATTGGATTCTGACAGTGACTCTCTCTGCCTGGCAGAGGAAGGGATCATCTCATCTGGAGAAACATACCGCTGTGTGGAAGGAAGACCTACAGTTTTCTGATACACATTTTACACACATTCCAGAATTCAGAAAGTTACTATATCAATCTTGTGTGGCTGACTGTGATGCTCCGCTGACTTAAACAGTGGCCCCAAAAGCAATAATTCCGAACAGTCAGTTGTGATTCGTGACATTTAAAGGAAAGAAAATAAAACACAAGAAACCTTATTACCCAAAAGCACTTTTCTTGGCAAGAAAACATAAATTAAGTATCCAGAATAGTAGTGTTCAAATGGGAGCTTCTAACATTCAGCATCCAAGGAATAGATGGAATGTCTATGAATCGCAAACAGTAACTGAGCAGCCCTAAGGCAGTCTGACCATGTGGTCTCTAGATCTCATTTTTCAGTGACATATGGTTTTAGGACACTGGCATTGCGTTTGAACATCTACCCCCC